TTTTGCCAATGTTTTCTCATCCTACGCTTTTCTTTAATCAGGTATCTAATGTTAAATGGATAATCTTGCTTAACACTTTTAGGTAACGGTAGAGTTTATTCCCATGTGGACATTTGGACACAATAGTTGAAATGCTCTACTGCTTCAGTTACATCAGATTCAGTTTTCAACCTAACTTTGGTATTTAGACCAAATGTAATTAGTTGACGATAACTGTTCCAGTCAGTATTTTTGTTATGAAGAATACATTTTTCCATAATTTCACAGCAGTCATTGAGAGTGATTATTATTGGCGAGTGGTCAGATGACAAGTCGAAATTGGACTTACAGGTAGTTGTTTCGATACGTACCACCTTTGAAACCGCAAAATCAATTAAGTCAGGTATTTTTCTTCTATCCGTTGGCAAGTGTGTGGGTTCACCTGTTGAGATTGTGTGTAGATTGAGTACATTTATTGCCTCGAAAAGTTGTCGTCCTTTTGGAGATATTAGGCGGGAACCCCATTTTAAGTGTTTAGCATTAAAATCACCGCCTACTAGGAACCTAGATCCAAGCAGCTGAAAAAATGATATGTACATATCCTTCGAGATACTGTGGCGCAGTGGGCTGTAGAGTGATGAGAAAGTCATGTCGCCTTCTTTAGTTTGTACTACAATATTTGTTGCCTGAATTTCATTCGTGCAATATGGTTTTACTTCATAATGTTTTATCGATTTCCTTATGAGGACCGCAGAGCCATCATCTACTTTACCATTGGGATGCATTGCGTGATAAAGTTTATAGTTCGGAATTTTAAAGAATTTTCGCGTCGTAAAATAAGTTTCTGATACCATCATTATGTCGACATGGTTTATTTTTAAGAATGCTTTTATTTCGACAGCATGTTTTGATAGACCATTAGCGTTCTATATGACTACTACAAAATCAAGAATTTTGTTTAGTCTTCAAGTTGATCAGTAAATTTGTCATTACTACGATTTGTTGCATAATTTGCTTCAAAAGCAATGGCATCTCACGGAATTCTTCCACAAAATTATTTCGAATTGGTGAAAGCTTCTCCTCTGTTGCGCTACTGGTGTCTGACTTCACTATTTGTGCGAATATTTGAGATGAATGAGAATTCGTGGTGTGATTTTTGTTTAGAGAAGGAAGAGGATTTTCTTGAATTTGCATTTCTGGCGCCCTAGGCCTTAATTGGGGATACATTTTTTTTTGCAGGTTTTTGTATATTTGACATCCTTTGTAGTTGGCCGGATGATTTCGCTCACATAAAACACATTTGACATCATTTGATCTGCTTTTTCTTTCGCAATTTACAGATGCATGGTTTCCAGTGCACTTGATGCATTTGGGTTTGCGGTGACAGTATCCTTTCGTATGCCCATACTACTGGCAGTTTGCACATTAAGGAATTTCATGTTTCGGGTGAGGTGGTTCGAAAGTAACTGTAGTATATAAGAGTTTCTTAACCAAATAGATATCCTTATTGTTTAGGTTTGATGCAAGTTCAATAATAAATATGAAAAGGGGTTCTACTGACCCTCTACGTTTAATGTTCCCAATGTTTACAGCCGTATGTTCTTGCTCCAGCAGTGCATTTTTGATTTCATCAATATCGGTTGAATGATGCAAATTTTTTAATATAACCCTAAAGCTTCTCTCGGTTTTTGGTTTGTAAGTGAAAAATTCAGTGCTTTTGAGTTCCATTGTGTTACAATGCTTACGTAAGAGTCAGATGTAGAAGGTTGAACTCTTACTTGACTAGGATTTAGCACTTTTAAGTTGTATTGATTAGCCGCATGTTCGTTTAATACGTCTATTAGAGGCTTGATGCAATCTACCTTATCAATAAATATAGGTGGAGGTTTCAGTATTTTTGGAACTGTATCATTATTTTTTAACAATTCTTCAGTTTCTTCAGAGTCATCTACCTGACGATCTACGTATCGGTTTAGTTTAACGGGTTCATTTAGCCAGTATGAGTCTAGTTTGGTTTGTTTTTGACTTGCTTGATAATTTTTACTTGGACTATCGCGTTGACGTTCACGATTATTAACTACTTTCCAAGTGTCGTTAACAGAGGTAGCGTTTCTGGTGGCTAAAGCTTGATTCGAACCTTTGTCTTGGAGGAGGTTATTTTTTTCATCATTATACAATTTTTGAAGCTGTTGTTGAACTTGTAGAATTTGTTGTTGTATGTTTTTCACCTGAACTGATTTAGATGTTTTACCTTTTAGTTGACCCGAAGTCGAATTGCTTGGTGCCTGTAACATGTTCATGTTGGTTTCTTTGCGTGTATTGATTTGTATTGTTGCGTGTTGGTTTGGGGAACGATGTTTTTATTATTTATTAATTTAATTTTCACCACCACGAACGGTTCTATTATTTTTTATTACGGTAGAGTAATATGAAGAGCGCAAATTGGGATTTGTTTAGTTATTTTGACAGGAGAAATGCTCCAAAAACTGAAAAACGTAGTCAAATCAAACTGAGTTATAAAAAGTAGTGAATAAGTTTCTTTGAAAAAATAATAATATTTATTATAATTATTATTATTGTAAATTATTATATATTATTATTAATATTTGAAGATGGTGCGAAATTGCGTGATGGGTTGTAAGTTTTTTAAGGGAATGTATGAATTTCCTGAAAATGACGAAAGAAGGTAAAAAAACAATAATTTATTAATTGTGGATTTAAAATATATGTTTTGTGTTTAATGTGATTTGTTTGTTTTGATGTGTATAAATGATCTTACCACGATAACATCAAATTGCTCTCTTTTTGGGGTTGCAGTATAATAATTTGCTGCTATTTGCTAATCATATTTTAACTTTTTAGTAATATAAAAAATTATGCTTCCTTATTTGGTTAATAATATCACATTACGTAAACAAAATATATATTGTAACAAATAATATATGATAAATAAATATATAAATTAATATATAATAATTTAAATCAATTAATTTAAATCAGTTTAGTTTGCTTAATCATGTAACATATATTCAGTAAATTAATTTTTGTTGCTTTTTTCATATGAATTTTATAGTATTTTAATTTATTAAAATACTAAATACTAAATATTAATGTTCGGCAACAAACTTTTGTAGAAGCAAATTTTTTATTTAATGTTTATATTTTCTTAAATATTTTTTGAGCGTATAAAACATTATTTCTAATATAATATTGAAATAATATCATTAAATGCTGTTATGACGTGTAATTAATAATAAAGACCGAAGCTACTACCAATTTACTTTTTTTATACGGCAGCACTTAAGTGATCCATGATAAAATGTGTTTCTCTACGAAGACTTAATTTTTAAATTTAGTGTCAAAAAATATGTTGATGAAGAAGGGTGTACGCGCATTCGCTTTAAATGTGTGTGGTACATATTATAGCTTTACATGCATTTCTAATTAATCAGTAACAATAAATCTGTTGGTAAGGGAGGGTGTGCGCGCATTCGCTATAAATGTATGTGGTGAATAATACTTATTATTAATTTACATACATTACTGTATGATCAGTAGAGAAAAATCTATTGATGAGAGTGGGTGTATGCGCATTCATTGTTAAATTTATGAGTTTTTCTTATGAAGATATATTTTTATATAAAATTTAACAATTTTTAAATTTTAATATTGAAAAATTTTAATTTTATAATATGATTTAAAATATATTTATATATAAATACTAAAGTATTTAAAAATATTAGCTAAGTTTAATTAAAAGAAGTACAAGTTGTTTACATAATTTATTATTGTTATGAAATGAAGTAGACTTGATTATTTACCAGAATTAATGCAAGACTTAAACGAGATATATGCTATACATTTTTAGTTCATCTGTTTGATGAATATTATAAATATTTACAAAATATAAAAATTAAAAACATATTTTCTTTTTTTTTGTGTTGTTTATGTATAGAATATATGAATATTTTCCTCAGAATTTAAATGATCTTAAAAACAAATTTATTAGGGTTCATGATATGATCATTATCATGTAGCGCCTTATGTTTATGTTTTAAATATATTAATCTCAATGTGAACATAAAATGCACACTTACTAATATTTTAAAATAAATAGTAAAATACTTTCGCTAAACTGTTATATTAGAAATATGCATAGAACTTAAATGAAAATTTATTTTCTTTCATCATTATTGTGTGGAAATTAAAAAAAAGAACCATAACAAATTTTTTACATCCCTTGTATTTTCCTATTTCTACATTTCGTTTATTTAGCTATATAGTTTATTCGACCAAAGTTCAAGATTTGGTATGCATTTTCCACACCACCCAAGAGGTATGTATAAAGATGCGTTACCGAGTTTAGGTGCCGGTTCTCCAAGAGGCATATCCATCATTATTTATTCGTTATAATTTTTTACAGATTTTTGCAAAAACAAAATTAACTTTGAAATTTTTTTTTTTGCCGGGCTTTAGGTCGTGGTTTTTAATTTTTAATTTTTATATAATAACTTGTATTTTATATAAAATAAATGAAA